AAAAAGAAATAAAAAAACTAAAAAAAAAAAAAAAAAAAAAAAAAAATGGATATTGAAGAAAATGAAAAGAAAATAAAAAATTACAGTCCATTAACAAAAAATTTATATATGAAATTAAACAACCCTATAGGGTTATATGTTAATTTAGATAATTCACTCCAATCAAGCGAAAAAAAAAAATTGAATAATAGATTAAGCTTTAGTAGTTTTTCGAACACAACATGTAGTGATATATTAAAATTAAATAACTTCTTACATATAGAAAATAATATATTGATATTAACTTTGAATAATTATTCTTTTAAATTTGGACTAATAAATATGTTTGATTATAAATTACAAAGTTTAAGACTCCCTCAAATTGAAATTATTGAACCATGGAAGGAAATAGGTTATATATATCCTCCATATAAAAATTATGATATTTTAGAAGAGTCTATTTATTATTGTTTTAGTAATATATATAAAATAAATTTAAAAAATAAAGATATATTTATTCCTTTTTCTAGTAGAAATACCATAAACGATTTTTCTACGATTGGAGACATTTTATTTGACTCATTTCAAGTTCATAGTATTGCATTTAAAGAACCTTCTTTTGTATCTTCTCTAATAATATTAGAAGAATTAAAAAAAGAAAAAGAAAGTACATTATTTTATAAAGAAGATAATAAAGATCAAAAGACAATTAACTCTAAGAATAATAATACAACTAATAAAGAAGAAAAAAATATCATATATAATCAAATAAAAAAAGAACAATCTAACGAGGAAAAAGAAATGAAAACTGGTATAAAAAGGGACACTCTCAAAGAAGAATATTCTAATGAATGCATATCTAAACTAAAAAAATTAAATCTCTTTAATTTTACAGCTGTTATTGTTAACATTGGTAGTACTAAAACAACCTGTACACCCATAATAAACGGAATACCTTTACCTGACCTAACTCATATTTATTATATAGGCGGATATGATATAGATAATCAAATTTTTGAAGAAATGAAAAAGAAAGAAAAGTATCAAAAAAATGTATCAATGGATATAGCAAGAATTGCAAAAGAAAAAAATGTATTTACTCCAAAAAACAGAGAAGAATGTGGATATTTATCTCTATTATACAATAAAAATCCTCAAAATTATTTAATAAATTCTTTTGAGTTAAGTTTTAATAAAATATTTGAATCTGCTGTTAATTCAACGGAAATATTTTTCTCCCAATATTCTTTAGATAATTACTTAAAAACAGAATCCTATAAAAATTTGCATAAATATGATCTTAATTTTAACTTTCTTTTTACTCAAAATACCTTACCTAAAGTAATTTATAATACAATTCAAAAATGTCCAATAGATTATAGAAAGACATTATTTCATAATATTTATATTACTGGTGGTTCTAGTGTTATAAGAGGATTCAGAGAAAGATTAGAAAATGAATTATACGAATTAATAAATAATCAAAATTTTTATAATAAAACAGTAATAAATGTACACTCTTTAAAAAGAAAACTTTTACAAAAATATTCCATTTATACAGGATCTCATTATTTCTTAGAAGTTTTTAATTATTATAATTATAATGTAACAAAACAAGATTATGAAGAATATGGAGAAAATATTTTGGCAAAGTTTAGCTTACAAGGAAAATTATTATATTAACTTTTATTTAAAAAAAAAAAAAAAAAAATATATGTATTTAAAATGAAAAAATTTATTTATATACTTTTTTTATTTTTTCTTATAGTCTATATTTTAAACATAAATTCATATATATAAATGCAACTTCTATATATGAATATATCATCAATGTATTCTGTTTTCTAGTTTATATATATATATATATATTTCATAATTAATTTTAAAATGTTTTTTTTTTTTTATATTTTCTTATTTTTCATAATTTAATTTATTACATACTCAAAAAAAAGAAGAAATTTTTTTTTGATTTGCATTTTTCTATTACATTTTTATAATGTATTCATATTATGTTATTTTTTTTTTTTTTTTTTTATTAAAATGAAATTATTTATAACTTAAGAAAATTTTTATTGATATTTCAATATCTATAATTATTCAATTTTAAAACTAGGAAAAATTCATTTATAAAGCTCTATTGTAAGGTAATTAAAAATAACTAAATATTTAAAAATATATCTAGCATTTTATTTTATTTTTATGATATATAACTGTTTTTAGAATAATGCATTAAAATTATATTAACATAAATGATAAATATATTATTCATAATTCCTACACAAATAGAAAAAAAAAACATATATAAAAATAATGAAAGGAATAAATTTTTATTTTAATATAGAATATGCATCTATTAAAGACTAATTAAATGTGAGTTTATTGTTTCTACAAAAGGAATTTGTCTTAATATTGTTTCATCTAAGGCATACAAAAAAATAACTTATATAAATGATTCTGTTAATTATAAGTGCTTTTTGTTTTCCTTTAAAAATTTAAAATTATAATTTATTTTTTTTTTTTTTTTTTTTTCTTCTTCAAATTTTAAAATAATATAATTTATATAAATATAGTAATAAATATTTTTAATTATTTATTAATTTATTTATTTTTTTTTTTTTAATGCCTTTTAAATATAAAAAATAATGATGTAAAATCTTAAGGATATAAATTATAAATATTTTTAATTTTTTTTTTTTTTTTTTTTTTTAATTCTATTATATTGAATAAAATAATATTGTTTAGTTTCTTGAATTAAGAAATTAACATTTTTTTTTTGTATTTTATATATATGAATGCATATACGAAAAAAAATTTAATTACGTTTTTGCTTGGATCACTTGCAGGATTAACTTTCAGTTACGTTTTAATTGAAAGAAGAAAGTTACTGGAATATTTGATTAACGGATTTAAGATATTAAAGAACATAAAAATAAAAAATAAAAAAAATTCTGCAGTTGCTATTCCAGAAGAATGTCCAGGTATAGATAATGAAAATGCAGGGAAGTCTAAAATTTGTGAAGGATGTCCAAATAGGAAGATTTGCAATGATCCTGAATTGAAGAAAGAAAAGGAAAAAGAAAAAAACAAAGCTTTCAATGAGATCAAAGAAAATTTAAAAAATGTAAAGTGTAAGATTCTCATATTATCTGGTAAAGGTGGTGTAGGAAAGTCTACTGTTGCTGCTCAAATAGCTTTTGCATTATCTTATTTAAATTATGATGTTGGTCTATTAGATATTGATATATGTGGACCTTCTATTCCTATTTTAACAAAAACAATAAATTACGATGTAAATTATAGTATGAATGGATGGATACCAATTTACAAAAATAATTTATCTATTATGTCCGTTGGCTATTTATTACCAAATTTTGATGACCCAGTCATATGGAGAGGGCCAAAAAAAAATGGTTTAATTAAACAATTTTTATGTGATGTTTATTGGAAAAATTTAGACTTTTTAATTATTGATACTCCACCTGGAACTAGTGATGAACATTTGACTATTTGTTCCTACTTGAAAGATAATTTAGATGGTTGTTTGATAGTTACGACTCCTCATATTCTATCTATTTGTGATGTTAAAAAAGAAATAGAATTTTGTAAAAAAACTAATATTCCAATACTAGGAATTATAGAAAATATGTATCAATCTATTTTTATATCAAATTATACCGTTGAAAAAATGTGTTCAGAAATGAGTGTACCCTATTCAGGAAAAGTAACTTTTCATCAAAATCTCATTGAGGCATGCCAAAAAGGTATAGGTTGTTGTGATATAGATCCATATAGTCCATCATCTAGAGAAATATTCTTTCTATGTAAGTTTTTTATTGAACAAATTCTCAAAAAATACACACACCAGTTAAATGAAACTAATGAAAATCCTTCATTAAAAGACGACAAAATTCATATTAATAATTCGGAAAACCAGAAAAACATAAAAGAAGAAAATAATGGTGATGACAAAATGTCAAATAAATTTAATTCTATAAGTTGTGTGGAAGAAAATTTAACAAAAATTCAAATGTTAAATAAATTAATAAATGAAATCAATTTATATATTGAAGAAAAAAATGAGTGATTATATCCTTAAAAATAATATGGAAAAATGGCATTTTTCTATACATTAAAAAAATATGTTATTTATTTGTAAAACAAGAAAGTACGTTAATTCATATATATATTTATCATTATTAAAAAATAGAAAAACATTTATTCTTAATAACATTTTTGAAAGAAGGATCATTTTATAATAATTTTAACTTTTATTTACACAAACACACACATAAAAAAAAAAAATAAAATAAAATAAATAAATTAAATAAAATATATATATATATATATATATTTATTATTAATCAAAAAGATATTTATTTAATTGATTAAATGATATAAACTTAGAATTTTTTTTTCTTTTTTTTTTTTCCTAATAACTTGATGTTTTTTTTGATGTAGTTGCTTTTAATTTGTAATACCTAAAAAAATTATAAATAAAATAATAATTACATATTTATATGTATAAATTTTTATTAAAAATAAGATAAAATAAAATAAAACATAAAAAATAAAAAAGTTAAAATATATATATAAATGCTTATATTTATTTATTTTATTATTATTTTTTTTTTTTTTTTTTTTTTTACTTTCTGCTTTCAATGTAATAAGAATTAGGATGATTACCCACCCCATCTCCTGCAGAACCTGGATGGGTTTCCATAAAAAATTTCACACAGGCTAGCTGATACTCATTATTTTTTTTTAATGGCATAATTGATTTAATTTGGTCTTCGTTTAACCCAAAAAAAAAAAGAAGACTTTTTAGATGTGATTCATCAAAATTCTTAAAAGGGCAACCATGTGTATCACTACCAGAAGGAACAGGAAAGTTATTTATTATTTTCGAACAATTGTAAGGACTAAAATCAGTTTTTTTTCCTTCTTTTCCATACATATAGCGTATATTATATCTATGTTCTTTATCGAATTTATCAGATTGTAACCATATAGATCTATTAGTTTGAATATTTTCTTCAAGGGTCATACCTGCTCCTTTTAAAAATAGCCATAATTGTTGTCTTCCCCAATGTTTTAAATGTTTTTCTTTGATATAATTAACAAATATTCTACGCATACATGGAGGAAAAGATTGTTTATATACGTTATATAAATTTTGTGGACTTAGTCTAGTTTCTTCTGTATGTTCATAATTTTGTCTATAATCTTTAGCTACATAAGCTTTTGGCAATGCTGATAAAAAGGGAGATATTCTACCATCATTCAGTATATTTAAAAGCATTTTTTCATTTTTCTCTAAATATTTAAATGATTCTTTAATATTTAATTTGAACTGAGTTATCAATATAGAATCTAAATAAATATCAGGAACATAAGCTATTGATTTTTCAACACATACTTTATGATCTTTTACTAAAAAATAAGCATCTGGATAAAAAGGAACTTTAAATAATTTTTCAATCATATCTTTATTTTGAATAAATGATGTATATTTATCCCATTGTTCATTTTTACTTCCATATGTAACTGGAGGTTTTGTAATGAATTCATAATTTAAATTTTCTCTTTTTAATAAGTGAATTAAACCTCTTTCACTTTCACTTATATTTTGTGAGTTAAGAACATTAATATTTTTTAATTCATTCAATCTAAATGAAAATAATTTTAATTCTTGCTTCAAAAACCACTGTTGTTTTTCTTTATCTTTTGAAAACGCAATCCTTAAAATATAATGAGATAATAAGTCAGTCATTATAATGTTTTCCATTTCTTCCTTGTTATAATTTTTCATTGATTGTATACCAAATTTATATTCATATATTTTTTGTCTAATTGTTTTGCTCTTATTCTCTAAAGAACTATTTACTGAATAATTTCTATCATTTTTCTTTTGGTTATTAAATTGGTCTTTTTCTTCATCTGTAGTTATCGTATATGTATCTAAAAATTGAAGTAAAGCTAATCTTTTTGCACTTATTTCTTGAAAATCACTTAAACTACAATACCCAAAAATAGGGGGATATTTATATAAACTTATGGGCATGTTAAATGGATATATACAGCTGTAATAATCAAAAAAAGTTGTTTTTGTATTATCATTAGTTATCTCATAATTCTTAAATGTGATATTTTGGAGTTTTTTTTCATTTAATTTTCCTTTCTCAACTGATATACCATTAATTGATCTTTTTCTCACTATCATTTTTTTTTTTTTTTTTTTTAATAGTCAATCCAATTTTACTCAAATATTTATTACATATATAAATATATATATATATATTTATATATATATATATTTTTTTTTTTTTTTTTTTGTGTTTTTCTATATAATATTCATATTATACTTAAAAATTATATACACACATTTTTCATTATTAATTTTCTCTTATTTTTCTAAGAAAAAATTAATTTGATATATAAAAATATTCTTAAAAATAAACTCCAATACAAATCTTTACGCTAATAAGTATATTAGAAATTAAAAAATAATTTTTACGAATTATAGAAAAAAAAAAAACAAAAATTATATATATTAAATACTTCATAAATAAAAATTACAGAAGAAGATTACAAAACAAAAGGTTTTTATTTTCATTAATATTATTATTTTTTTTTTTTGCATCTATTATTCTTTTTCTTTTTAAGGTTAAAAATATTATTGAGAATATTTTTAAAAAATTAAATTTTAAATAAAAAAAAAATTAATATTTGTCTCATAAAAAAAAAAAAAAAAAAATATATTGAAAAAAAAAGAAAAAGTAAAATATTTGAATCTATTGTCATTATAAAAAAATATTACGATTAAGAAAAATGAAATGAAAACAAATGAGAAGAGTTATGTAATTACTTTCATCTTTATTTTTTTTTTTTTTTTTTTTATCTTAAATAAATTTTTTTTTTTAATGATTTCTTTCCTTTTTTCATAATTTTAAGAATGTCTAAATTATTTTAAAATTATTCTATTATGATATATATATATATATATATATATATATATATATATATATATATATATATATATATATATATTTTTTTAAAGTCTTATTTAGAAGCATACAAATTAAGAAAGCAAATTATATCATTTTGCTTTTCATTATTCTTGTTCATAAAAGCGTAAATAAAAGATAATCTAGTATTAATTAAATTTTTTAATTTGCAATTAAAGTATGTTAAAATTAGAAGATAAAAATTAATTTTTAATTTTCTTAAAAAAAATAATGTATTATATAAAATTAAAATATATATTTATTTAAAAAGCTACATAACATTTTTCATATCATTTTATCTTGATAAATATCCTTTTTTCTTATTAATGATTTTTTATAATTTTTTCTTTTAACGCATGTTTTATATACCTTATATGACAAGAAAAAGTTCATTTGTAGTTTTTAAAAAGACTTTATATAAATTTAAAAATTTTTAAGTTATTTATATTACTGTTAAATTTTTTATAATTTTATTCTAATCTTTTTTAAACTTTATGTTAAAAATTAAATAAATCATAACAAAAAAATATATATTAAAAGAAAATAAATAAAATATGCTAAATTTAAGCATATATTCAATAAACCCGCATAGGTAATTGTCAGTTATTTCTAACAAAAAAAAAAAAATATAAAATGTATATATATATGGGAGTAATAAATTGAAGGAATTTTGTTTATGGTTTTAAGTGATCTTTGTAGTTTTTATTTGTTATTAATAATTTTTAATATCTTTTTAACTATCTATATCTTTACAAAATCTTTTTTTAATTATGTATTATAATAAAAATACATATTCCAAGAAGGTACATAATTTTCACATAATTATAAATCTTAAGAATATATATTAATTGTATACTTTTATAAAAAAAAAAAAAAAAAAAGGTTACACATTTACTATAAACTTTAATAATTAGTATTTTATATATAAAAAATTAGGTAATAAAAAAATTAAGAATTTCTTATGACATTTCATCTTTTAAACTTTATTTAAATTATTTTACATAATTATATTTTATTTTAACGAATAAAAAAAAAGGATATATTTTTATGTTAACTAAAAAAAAAAAAATTCTTAAAGATATGTATTTTTTTTTTTTTTTTTTTTTTTAACTGTATTTGGTGCATTTTTAATATTTAAAATAGAATAAAGGACGTTTTACATTTTTTTTCCGATTAATCATTATATTTAAGTTTTATTAATTATTCCTTTAATTTTAAATATTTTTTTTTTTACATTTAACATAACTCCATTACATAATAAGAAAGTTATAATATATATATATATATATATGTGTGTGTGTGTATATTTATTTTTAAATAATACTTAATGAAAAATTTTTTGTATAAATATTGATGGATCATACAAATAACGCATTACCAAAAGAGGAAATTGTAATAACTATTTTTAAAACAAAAAAAAATTAAAATCATACACATATTTGTATTAAAATAAAAAAGAAAATATACTTTATTTTTTTTTTTTTTTTTTCTTTTAAATATAATTAACAAATATTACACATTAATATATTTATTTTTTAGAAGAAAAAAAAAAAATGGAGAAAAATATTGTATGAAGATCTTGGCTATGATGATAATTATGTGGATAACAGTTTTTTAAGTTCTCTTTTAACAAACTGTAAATTAAATTTGCACTTCTTATGAAAAAAAGAAAAAACATATTTTAAATAATAAATCTTATACAATTAATAAAATGTTGTTTTGTAATTTTTTATTAGTTGGGATAAAATATAAATATTCATATGTATGCCTTAGAATGCTTTGTGTAAATCATCAACTGATGCTTGTATTATTTTTTTTGTTATCATATTATTACATAGATAAAAATATCATAACATATAAGTATGATTTTTTTTAAAAAAAATTAAGATGTAAATATAAAAAAAAAAAAAAGAGTTTAAAAAATTAAATAATTCTTTTCAATAATAGGTTTGTAACGTTAATAAGTTCTATCACTATAATATTAAAGGAAATATTGATTTATGAAACACATAGATCATTAAATAGTATTAAAAAAATAGTAAATATTGATGTATGAACATTTTTACTACTTATTTAAAAAAAAAATTTTTATTTTCCACTTTTATAGGTTCCTTAAAAAATATTTTAGACACAATAATCATTATTGGAATTATATGGGTTAATAAAAATACATAATATATTTCATATCATGTTATTACAAGTATTTCATAATTATATAAATTTATTTATTTTTTTTTTTTTTTTATTTCTTTTTTAAAGATTTTATCTCCTGTATTAATTACATTAACTCAAACTCATAGTGACGACACAGTTTATTTGGTGTCTATATGTAATTAAATTCTCTTTTCTTTTTTTTTAATTTATTTTTATAAAAGAACATATTTAATAATTTTTCCTTTTTTCTATTTAAACTTTTCAGTACTTCTCTTGTTTCATCTAATGTTTCATAATTATGGTTTTATTTATGAGTAATAATATTATTCATTGTTTATGTATATTTAAATTTGAATTTTTGTATAACTTTAAAAATTTCATTTTAATTTTTATATTTTATTCTATTATTTTTATTTTTTATTAAAAATTAGGAAGAATGAAAATATAAACATATTTGATGCAACATCTTTAAGCTGTGTTGTTATTGCAAGTGTTATATTAGGTTCTCGTTTATCTTCAATTCTACAAGTTAATTTTTATTATAATTAAATTAAAAATAAAACAATTATAAATTATATCACTAAAATGAATTTTTTTTTATTTCATCTTAGGTTTTTTCTTTTTTATTTTTGTCTTCAATGTAAGTTAATGCAAATTGTTTTATTTAAAAAAAAAAAAAAATATATTTTAATAATTCTCTCTTTTTAATAAGAAATAATAATAAATTATGTAAAATAATATTTTTATTCTTTTTATTCTTCTTTTCAGTCTTTTTTTTTATTCTCCTTTTATATTTCAAACTATAGCTGTAAGAAAAAAAAAAAAAAAAAAAAAAAAAAAATAATGATAAAAAATAATAAAGTTTTATAATTTTTACTTTTTCTTCAGTTAAAAAATATTTGCTATTATAATTATATTTTATTTCCAATTTTGTTTCTAATTTTATCTTTTTCAATAAGAAGAATTTCTATCACTTTTTTTTACTTAAATCTGATAGGGTATATTATATTACATTTGAGTATTTAAAATTTATTTTGAATTATATTTTTCGTATAGTTTTTTTAATATATATTTATATTATTATATTTTTTATTCATAATTTTATTATCTATTATTATTTTCTTCTTTTTTTTTAATTATATACTTTAAAATGTTATGTTTTTCTAAAATCACAAAACATGCAATCATTTTATGTTATTTTGTCTTAGACATATTTTTGTGCTTTTAATTGTCCCTGCATTTTTTATAGAAAAAAATACCTTAAAAACGTAATTATAAAAATAGAAAAAAAATGAAAATTTATCTTTTTTATATTATTTTAATGTATGTTTGGAATTTTTCTTTTTTAGAAAATTAGAAGGACCATGGGACATCGCAGTGTCCCTTCAAGATAGTACTGGAATTAATAAAAAAATAAAATTAAAATAAATTTTAAGAATAATAATGATTTCATAAGATAAAATTTTTTAGACTTTGTCCTTCATAAAAATTTTTTATATACTTTTTAAATTTTAATAATTTTCCATTATCTCTTATGTTTGCATCATAAAATAACTAATAAAAATATATAAAAATAATTGACTTAATATATTTAATCATTTATATATTAAATAAATTACTACTTAATATATTCATTTTAAAATATTTAAATATTTTTTTTTTATCACGAAAATAAGAATATCAATTTAATTGAAATTATTCATATCTTATTCTAAAAATAAATTCTCAAATTTTCAAAATATATCTTGTTTCAATACGTAACTATTTTTTTTTTTTTTTTTTTCTAATGTTTTAGTAATAAAAAATAAAGAAAAAATAGTTTAAATTTTTTATACACATATATATATATATAGTAGTAGAAACATAACCTTCATCTATAATTAAAAAAAGATAATATATATATAAAAAGTAATAATTTTATTCTTTATAAATAGTCATTATTTTTTTAAGACAAGTGGAAATAACTTTTAAAAAAGTAAAAATAGTAATAATCATTACGAAAAATTACTGAAACATTTATATAGATTAACATTAATTTTTCATTATTTTAATTTTTTTTTTTTTTTTTTTTTCCTATAGAAAAATGTTGGTTATAGAAACTAGAAAAAAAAAAAAAAAAAAAAAAAAAANAAAAAAAAAAAAAAAAAAAAAAAAAAAAAAAAAAAACTAACACTTAATATAGAGCGTACACAATACTTTTTTTTTTTTTAAAAATAACTTTAATATTTTTATTTTTTTTTTATTTTAATGTTATTTTAAAAAGTTATCATCTGTAATTAATTTTTTTTTAACATTTAAGACTAAAAAAAATTAATTCTTTTTAAAATTATTTGTATTACTTATAAATAAAAAAAATGATTAAATATAATTTTATATATTATGGGGGTTCTACTATACTAATAAGTACATAATGAAAAAAAAATATAAATATTATATTAATATAATTTTTTAATTTTATATATTATAATTAAAATGTTATATTTTTATTTTTGCCTTTTTATATTTTAATAGATATAAAATACAAAAAAATTATAATTAGAATACTTCATGTTTCATGCACAATTTTTTTAATTTTTAATCTTTAAAAGCTATTAGAAAATTTTTTTAATATTTTATATTTTATCTATTTTATTTAATTTTATTTTATTTTTGAATATCTGACGCGAAACCATAAAAACAGAGAATAGAATTTGATAGTTTTCTATTTACGGTAACTAGGAAATTTAAAAAAAAAAAAAATAGAAAAATTTTTATGTTTGGTTGAAAATTTTTTTACAATTTCACAAATTGATAGAAAGAAAGAAAATATAAACTCTTAATTAAATATATTAGAAATATAATTACTCTAATTTTACTTACATGTTAAAAGTATAGAAACAAAATTATTATTTAAAAATTTCATAATTATTTAATGATTAATTACAGTCAGAATAGTATACAGCTAACAGATAAAAAAAAAAGTTACAAACACATTAAAATTTAACATTTTTTTTAATGTTTTAAATAAAATTTCTGTTTTCACAAAGTTTACATTATTCTATATATTTTTGTTTGAAATGAAAAAAAAAAAAAAAAATTATAAAGTATCAATGTGATTATATGATAAAATAAAAGTTAAAATTACATAGCTATTAGACTTAAAAAAAACAATCTTTTTTTAATGAATATTTTATCCATAACCTTAAAGAAAAATAGAATTGCATGCGTTCAAACAATATGCTGGTGAGCCAAAAAAAAAATTCCTAATAATAAGAAAAAAAAAAAAAAAAAAAAAATATTAATAATAATAAAAGAGAACAAAAATATAAATCTAGATTAAGGGAAAAATTAAAAAATAAAAAAAACAAAATTAATTAAATCTAAAAAAAAAAGTTACGATCAGTCATCTTTCTTATAGAATAGAGACTATTAAAAGGAAAAAAGAAATTGCAACATATTTTCTTGAGTCGAGAAAAGAGAAAATTAACAAAGAGGATTTTGAAAATTGCACAATTAATATCAAGGTTAATAGGAGAGACATTGATTACTGGAATAAAAAAAGTTTACATCAAACTGAAAAATATATAGTGATCTATACTAATTTTAATTTAAAAAATAAAAAATTTTGTGAGATTGCAGCACATTGTACTTCACCAACTTCGATTGAAACAAAATTAGAACCTCCCAACAATATGGAGAAAAAAAAAAAAAAAAAATTTAAAAAAATGAATGAAAAGAATGAATTTAAAAAAGATATTACTAAAAATGTTAGTATAAGAAAAAATTTAGAAAATGAGAAAATATCACATTCTATTAATAAATATAATGAAAAGAAAAAAAAGGGAAATTGTATAAAAAATGATCATATAAATTCAGATAATAAATATGAAGATTATTGTAATAATACTGATAATAAAATTGATGGAAAATATTGTGATGAACACAATTATACATATGTAAAAAATGATAGTAAAACAACAATTTATGATGAAAATTTAAAAAAAAATGTGTTCAACTGTGATGTGCATCTCCTATTTTATAATTTTTGCCGATTCTTTAATTGTAATAATAACCAAGAATTTATAAATGACGAAACATTCAAGTCAGAATTAACAGTTGATTCAAATAATTCAAAAACACAAGATTTTTATTATAAAAATGAATTATATCTTGAATGGGGTCATTTAAATTCTGCTGGAAATTCAACAGATGTAAGTAAAAAAGATAGTGTTACATGTTTCAATGAATCTAACAAAATTAAATATCCAGAATGTCAAAAAAACTATAGTACTTTAGAAAATATAAAAATAAATAATAATACTACTGAAAATTATGAAAATTCCCTAATAGACTTACCTTATTCTGAAATAAATAATTATGAAACTATTAATGAAATTTTGATAGACGATAATAGAAAAAGTGAAAAATATTTTAAAACAGAAAGCTTTAATAAAATGTTGAGAAATGTATATAAGGATAACGAAGAAAAGAGAATCAGTAATAGTAATTTAACTGCATACTATGATGATATGAGCAACTTAGGTATGACTTCACTATTAACAAAAGAGATATCAAACAAAATAAATTATCCTATTAATGTTGATAAAAATGTTGTATTTATACAAATTCAGAATTTTTCTCAAAAAATTGATGAATATATTTCAGACGAAAAAATTTTCAGAGCACAAAAATTAATTGATCATGTAAAAAAATATATAGAGTATTATATTAACTATTTTAAAAAATTAAATGAAAAAGATGTGGTAGAAAAATTATTAAAATATTATGATGAAAATTGCATGAATAAAAATATTAAATATAATATTAACAATTTAAAAGTGAATATTATCCTTCATTTTTTAAATTTTTTTCGTTTAAATGAAATGTCAAGTATATTAAATGATTATTGTTATTATTTTTCTATAGATACAATGAATAGCATAGTATCAGACACCTTAAGTGACCCAGTTGAAAATAACAATTCTACAAAATACTATGAAGATAATAATATTAACTTAAAACCTTCTTTATATTCTTTTGCTAATTCTGATTTAGGTATTCCTTGGAAGTCAATAAAATGCTTTAGCCTACCAGAAAGTGGCAATATATCTAAAATAAATAGCAATAGTAATATTAATAACAATGAGAATAATAATAATATCACTAACGGGAATATTAATAATAACAGCTTTAATAATAAAAGCAATATAAATAACATCAATAATAATAAAAATAATAAGGTTATTGTAGATAAAATGTATCATCAACAATACATTACATCCAATATACTTACATCTAGTAATATTTTAGAAAATGAACAAAACATTAGCAATAAAAATATAAACATAAAAAGTAACCACCGTCATATGGTAAAGATAATACAAAAATATTCTAAAAGATTTAAGAATTTTAGAAAAATGAAGCAAAATAGAGAAGGTTGGATAAAGGAAAATGATAAATATCTTGATTTATGGCATAGAGTTGATAATGAAAATAATATTTCTGTACATGTTAGAGCTAAATTGCCATATGAAGTTAATAGAATATTATCAATTTTAAATGAAACCGAATTAAGTGTAAATTGGGCTCCTTTCTTAACATCTGCAAAAAAAATAAAACATTTATCAAGAGCAAGTGCAATCATTACGCAATTATATGAATATCCAATAATTGGAAAAAAAGAATCTTTAATGTACTGTTTAGGTAAAATAAATAAATATAAATACAAATTATATTTTGAAATATAGTTTATTAAATTATCTCATATTTATGTAACATAAATATCAACTATGTAAATTTTCATATATATATATACATTTTTAATTTTTAATTTTTTTTTTTTTTTTTTTTTTATTAATTTATTAGGTGCTAATTCTTTAGAAGAATTAGGATGTATAATATTATGTTGCAAAGCTCCTCCAGAATTAGACAAAGATATTTTATTTTATAAAAATATGTGTGATAAAATAAAAATAAATAATTACGAAGAAATTATTAAAGTTAAAGATGTTTCAACAAAATTAAAAAAAAGTTATAAAGAAGTGACTTTTTTTAATTATAAATTACCAGATCCTATTCCTAAAATTGATAGACAGAGAGCAGCTAATTTGTGTTTTTTATTGTATCCATTAAATAATGGAAAGTCAACAGTTCTTGAATTATTTTTACACTTTGAAAATGAATTTAAATATACACCTATTAAAATGGTTACATATTTTATTAAAAAAATTGTTAAAAATATGTATGAAAATATTATTAAATCCTGTAAAAATTATGAAAATATATACTCTGATTTCTTACGAAGAAATTCAGAATTTTATGTTTGGCTAGATGATCAAATTAAAAAATTTTTGAAAAGCAAGCGTGATGCAAAATTAATAGATTCAATAAGTCTCGAAAGTTATAATGATCAAGAAAATAATGAATAATTTAATTTAAAAAAAGTTATAAAAAATAATTAATGAAATTAAAATATTTATATAAAAATATTTCGCTTAAGTTGTATGTAATTAAAAATCCACCTAACATTTTTTATGAAAACATTAAAAAAATTAAAAAATTAATATTTCCATTTTAAATAATATATTTTAGTTTTTATTAAAAACTTCTGTACATTTCAAAAAAGTATATATAATATGTAAATTTTAATTACATATTTACATATGTATATATATATATTTACATATGTATATATATATATATTTGTTAATTTTTCTATTTCCATTTAATTTTATAAAATTCATTTATAATTCATTTTTTCTTCTTTATTTTTGTATTATTTTTTTTTTGTCTATGATATTAAAGTGTTATATTTATTAAAAATTAATGTTGTATTTATTATTTTATTTTTAATGTAAGATAATAAATAAGAAATAATTTATACAGATTTGCAAAAAACACTAATTTATAAAAATGTTTATAAGAATATATAAATATATATATACTTACAAGTATTTCATCCTATAAACACTTCATAAATTCATGAATTTTTTATTATTATATATATATATATATTTTTTTTTTTTTTTTTTGTAATTAATATTTACAATGCTTTTTAAAAAAAAAAATGAAAACAATTTTTTTTTACGATTGTTTAAAAATGTAGATACACACTTTTATTTTACTTTATTTTATTTTTTACTTTAAATTATTTTACACATTTCATGAAAACATTTTTTTTAATTGTTTCATAGAATTTTATCAAATATATATATATATATATATATATTTATGTAAAAAAAAAAAAAAAAAAAAAAAAAAAAAGAAATGTTTTATAAACTTTGTTTATATTCTTATATTTTATAAGAATATATTACAAAATTATTATTAAAATTTTTATTTCATTGTGTTAGTATTTATTTACATTTGTATACATATTATTATATCAAAACAAATTTTTATTAATATAAATAAAAAATTACATTAAGAATATAATTTTTATAATATATTAAAAATATTTTATTATTTTTATATAATATTTAAAAATTAAAATGATATATCTTATGTAACAATTTTTTTTATATTTTTAATTTTTCGGGAATATGATAAGTAGAATAATATAAAATTTTTGAATATTTTTTGCCTTTTTTTTTTTTTATTTTTGACTTTCTTTTTACAGAATGTTTAAAGAAAAATATTTATTTATAATATTTTTTTTTTTTTTTTTTGTTTTTATTTGTAAAATTTAAATAATCTAAATGAAAAAGAAGCATTTATGCTTTTTTTTTTTATATAAAAATTTTTAAGATTCTCTCTTTAATATTGTTTTTTGAATATATGTGCTTGGAGCACTACGTATGATTATTTCTTTCTTTTCCTTAAATTTATTTAAAAATTATATATATAGTATAAATATGTATTTAATAAATAAAAAATATCATCCAAAAATTATATGAAAAAATTATTTAAAAGTTTTTAAACATATATAAAATTTAATTAAATAATTCAGATAAGTTGTGTTATAGCTGTAATATACAACATTTCATTTTTTTTTTTTTTTTTTTTTTTTCATTCAGTAGCATTTTATTTATAATTTTAAGTATATTGAAATAAGATTTAAAATAAAATTCAAAATAAAGGAAAATAGAAATTATTAATAAACAAATAAAAACAATAAGGAATAATTATGTAAATTAATAAATAATACTTATGATAATAAAGACGTGTAATAATTTACATTAGAAGTTTGTTAGATAAATTAAAAGTTTTTCTTTTAAAATAATATAAGAAATACATTATTTTTTATAAATAAAATTGAATATATTTTTTAAGTATTAAATATAAAAGTACGCTATCATACAGTTAAGTTTTCATTCTAAAATATATTAATTTTTTTTTTTTTTTTAATATAAAAAGTAAAATTAGTTGACAACTTTTATGAATTAAAAGGTAAATATATTGAAACAACTATTAAAATGGCAGATAAAATATGTCACAAATTAATTAATGAAAATTTAAAAACTTTATGTGAACATACATTACCAAATAAAAATGATTACGAAATAAAAAATGAAAAATTTAATAACATCAATATAAATTGTTCTTCAAAATGTGAAGAATTGTGCAATAATATAAATGAGCGATTGCAAAAAATAAAGGACATTGTACATCTTAGATCAACGAGGCCAAATGTAATTTTAATAGACACCTTGAAGTATATTAAAGAATATATAAAAGAAATAGAAAAATATATAGAAATTTTTAATAATGTTATACATGAAGAAAACAAAGCTTATGCATATTTTGAAGATATATTTAATTCTTTGAATATCCAGAATCAGAATGTACAAAAAATTTATCATATATGTAGTAAAAATATTGTAATAACAAAAAATAACAATGAACTAATTTTACAAAAACCACAAAGTTACTTTTCTCTTTCTTCTAAATTTGTCAATAATTTATTAAATATATGCAAAGAGCAAAATGAAAAAATAAATGAAAATAATAATGAAAATCAGAATGAAAATAAAAACATAATCGAAAATGAAAATGAAAATAAAAATAAAAATGATAATTATTTAAATTAAACATTAATGGAAAAGAGGATAAATAATTTAATAAATTAAACAAGTGAAGAATATAAAAATTTAATTTGATATTCTATCTTTCATAAATCTTATTTATTACTTATTTTTAAATACTCCTTATATATATATATATATTTTTTTTTTTTTTTTTTTTTTGCATTTATACCTTTAAGTAGAATATTAAAAAATCATAAGAACTATTTTTTTTTTTTATTAATTATAGTAACATGAAATATAATGTATCATTATTTGATGCTTACTTTTATATATATATATATAAAGTATACATTTTTTTTTTTTTTTTTCTTTTTTTTTATGTATTAATTTTTAGTTTCTAAATTCTTAATTCTATATCTTAAATTTTTATTAAGAAAAAAGTAAATAAATAAAATTATAATAAAAAATTTCTACTAATATATATTTGCTTTTTATATTAACATTTTTGTAAAAATAAGAAAAAATATTTCTAATCACTAAAAACAACACGATAAAAAAAAAATTTATTATTTTAATAGTTTGCACTACTTATTTCACATTTAAAAGAAAATTTTTTCCTTTTAATAACTAAACTATTTATTTTTTTTACTTTTAACATTTCTATAATTTTTAAGGTTGTTATCCTTTTCAAAATGTTGTACACATTTTTTCTAACCCATTTTATATTTTTTTTCATTTTGAAATTGGTTCATATAAAAAAGATCAAAAGAATTTTTTTTTCTTTTATTTAATTTTAGTAAATTTTAAGGATTTAATTAAACTATATAAATATCTCTCTACTTAGATAAAATATGTTACTATAAAAAATTAAAGCAAATTATTACTTTTTTTTTTTTTTTTTTTTTCTCTTCATATGAATTTCTTTTTCTAAAAAAAGGAAAAAATTTTACAAACAAAAAAATATGAAAAAAATCCGTAAATTTTGATTATAAAATATAAATAAAAATGAGATACTCTATTTTTAAAAATATATTTACTCATATAATTATTGAACAAATTTTTAAATTTAATATTTTAATTTTAAACATTTTTTTTTAAAAAGTTGTCTACTGTTGTTGCATGCAATCCTTTTGATACGGAAAAAAAAGATCTAAAGGCAATCTACAATATATTTCACTTATTATATCTTTCACTTTTCATTTTTCTTTTTTTATCTTTAAATGATGAAAAAAAAAGAGATGAAATAAATATATATAAAAGAATAAAATATAAATTATTTTCAATCGTTTAATTTCTTAGTATTAATATAAAATTATTTTAATTAAGTTCAAAAAATGTTTAATTCTTATAAAAATCAAAAAAGCATGTTTTATTACAGGTTTATCTTTTGCTTCCTTCATTTCTTTCTTTTTTTTTTCTTTTCTTTTAAATTATACTTATAATAAATTTTTAATTAGAGGAAAGAGAAAAAAAAAAAAAAAAAATAAGGTAAAATGAAGTAGTGATTATTATTTTAACGAATACATTTATTACTTCTGAATAAAATGTTTATAAATTATATAAATATATTCTTAATTATTTCGTCCTTTAATGTATTAAAGTATAATACTGAGGAAAATAATATAAAATTTTTTAAGAATTATATCAAAAATGAAGAAAACAAATATATTTTTAAAAAAAAAGAAAAGTCTTTTAAGATTAACGAAACAAAATCATATAAAAATGAGTTTAATGATAAATATTTGAGTAGATTAAACAAATTTAATAATGAAAACAAATTTTTTGTAAGATATAAAAAAGAACAATTGAAGAAAATAAATGGAAAAAAAAGAATTGGAAAAAATTTCTTCTATTCCTTTACACAATCTCGTTTATCTATTAAAAATACGGATATGAATTTATATAGTTCCTTACAAATTCTAATTGATCAATATTGCTATCCTTCTGTAGCAAGATGTTTAGGAGGGAAAAATAAATGTAAATGTGTTAACATTTCAGATTTAAATATGAATATATATTCTAATTCTTGCTTAAATAATTGTGGTTCTCCTTCTAATTGTCATGGATATTCAAATAAGGGACATAAGATTATTCCAAAAGAATTTATTATTAATAAAAAAATTTTAACATGCGTTATCTCAAATATTCAAAGAAGACTAAATAACATATGTGGAAGAAATAAAGTTTTTAGATTTCATGAACAAAAAGGATATTGTATTCCTTACGATTTATTAGACTCTGATAAATCAGGTTACTACTGCATTAATGAACATAAAAAATCAGAATTATGTTGGGGATATTTTAGAGATACTTCTAAGAATATAGATGATTATCATATAAATAATAACGTTTATTTTTATTCTATTATGCAAGATCCTTGTAATGAAGATATTTATGGAAATGGAGAATTATATATAGGATGTCAAGATATGTCTATTTCTAAAAGAAAATGTCTAAACTGGTCTTCTTTAAATATTCCAGAGTTATTGGATACTAATCTCATTCATAATTATTGCCGTAATCCTGAAAATTTAGATACTATTTATTGTTTTGTTAAAAATAAGGGTTTTGTTGTTAGAGAATATTGTGAACCAAAACAAACTACCATTTCTAATGATATTATTTATTCAGAAAAATCTTTATCTGATTTTGATATAACGATGAAAAATGTATCTGATTTTCGTATAAAATTTATGAAAAACGAATGCAATAGTCCAATAAGTGATCCTGATGATCCTAATAGAAGTATTATATATGACAAAATGAATTATACTTACCATGAGATTGATGGTGAAATTGCACTAACAATTACTTTCAAAGGTTTTCAGCATAAATATAATTCTCTTTCTAACAATAATTTATCTATTTGTGCATGTCATAGAGATTATTATTTTGATATAAATGTTAGCTGCTCACCCAGCTATTTTAGAAAAAAAATTGGAACTTTTATATATTCGAATCCTCTCTTTAATCAAAATAGTAACGTGTTTTATATAAATAAAAATAAAAATTTCACACTTAATGTATATGGAGTCAATTTTAAAAATGAAGCATATATTTTTAGTGGAAATTATTCATACGAATGTAGTTCTTTAATTGTTATGTATAATTTTAAAGATGGATTAAATAAAATATTAAATATAGATATTAATAAAAAAATACAAAAAATATATCCTCCCCTAGATTCTTCAAAAACAATTTCTTTTATCTATGGATATTCTAATAAAGCTTTAAAATTAGAAACTTTAATAAATAAAAATAATTCATATATATTAACCATGGATAATATTAGTTATATTTCTCCTCAAAGATTAACTAATTTAAAAAATGGAAATAATTTAATATGTATCAAATATAATATAGATGGATATATAGGATTTTATTATGCTGGGAAAATAATATATGATGATAGAAACTCTTCAGATATTAAATATCTTTTAAAAAATGAAGATTCATACTATGATAATTTTATGTATACAAAACGATTTTACAATAATTATGATAATCATTATTTTTCATTTAGTGACGATATATGTGAAAAACATGATAATAATACATTAAATGAAAAAGAGTTACATGTCTCAGAAGTAGATAAGATAAGTAGAATAAAAAACTATTCCATTTTATATCCATATAGTTATGTTAAAAATTATTTTAAAAATAATTCAAGATATTTTATGTTTTTTCCAGAATATCAAAATGAGTTGTTATATATTTTAATGAAAAATATCCAAATAAAAAGTCCAATAAATTACTTATGTGAAAGAGATAATGAATTCAAAAATTCGAGCGCTATATCATTAGTTCATTATTCTGACTTCCTTTTTACTTCATTTAGCGAATTTGCACATTATTTTGAAGTTTATAATGCACCAACCAACATACATAATAGCTATATAAAAGATGAATTATATAACTTTATCTCAAATTTTTTTTACTTAAAAGATTTATTAAATATTTTTCATAAAACAAAAATATTATCTTTATGGGCTCATGAAAATGATAATTATGTATCATTATGGTTCATTTCAACTAAAGTTTTAACTCCTTTTTTTTTAATAAAATATCAGATAAGTTCACCAAGATTTGCTTTTGCCGATTATATAATAAATTCAAAATCTTTGATATCATTTGATTTTTACATTTTCAGTATAAAAAATTTAAATATTAAAAAGTATAATACATATGATTTTTATAACCTTAGTTTGATAATCGATAAAAAATATCCAAAGCTACTAGAAGTAGTAAGTATAGAAATATTTTCTCATAATAAGACACCTTACTTTTTATTACTACTCAAAAACAATGATCTTATCATATTAGATAGAGATTTAGTAGAAGTTCATATAATTAAAGAAAAAGAAAAATATCTAAATTTAAAACCTATAAAAGTTCAATGCTTAGATACAGTAGATATAATGTGCTTTATTATATATAGACTTCATCAAATTTTATGGTTTAGTTTACATTTTAATTTATTAAATATATCCTTTAGTTCATTATCTTCAGGTGTTATGCAAAATAAATTATACATTAATTACATTAATGGTTCATATAATGATGATTCAGATCTAAGTTTTATAAAAACATCAAATTCTAGCACCCTTAATACACCTAAATATGAACACAATAAAAGTGAATATATGCAAAATTCTTCCTTGTTTTCCAACAATAAAAAATATATAAAAACAATATATATGAAACATATATATTTATACATAGAATATGATAAAGAAGTACTAGTAGAAACTCCAAATAATATAACAGTAATAAATAAATTGGAAGAATATATTATCTATGTATCTTTTAAAGAATCTAACAAATTACATATTTATGCAACTGACAGAATTGAAAAAACAATTGAATATTATAAGTCTATAAAAAATGAAGATTTATCCAAATACAGAATTAATTATACCTTTAGTTATTTTTTTAGAGATAAAAATTTTATAAATTTTTTTGTAAGTAAGGAAGGGAAAAATGATGCTATATGTTCTTTTGTACATGAAAATTCAAGTAGAACAGAAGTAATTTATAAACCAAGAGAATGGTATATATATAATAAGAATATTGAATTAAAACCTATTATTAAAGGGGACAAACGACAAATTCAATATTTTAGTATACGTTATAACAATGTTTTAAAAGGCCAAAATATCAGTATCAATAAAAAGAAAGGAATAATTCAAATTCAATTTAATAAAATAAAGATGATGAAAATAAAATTACATATTTTAATGTATGGTTTATTTCATATATATGAAACATATGTTACGTTTAATATAGTTTGCGATGGAGGAAAATATTATAAAGATAATGAATGTCATCCTTGTGAGAGAGGATATTATAATAATTTGAAAGAAATTAGAAAAAATATAAGTTATTATAAAGAATGTATACCTTGTCAAAAAAATAAAACTACCTCTATAGAAATAGCAACAAGTAAAAGTGAATGCTTATGTGATTTAGGATATGAATACATTAAAGATCCAAATAATCGCAATAATTATATTTGTTCCCCTTGTCCTAAAGGAAAATATAAAAACACCATATCTAATGAGCTTTGTCAAGGAAATGGTTGCAAAGAAAATTCCACTTCGTTTGTTATTGGAGCAAAAAGCATATTAGAAATTACATGTTTATGTAATGCAGGATATTATTTAAGTTATGATAATTCTGGTTCAGAGTCCTGTCAAAAATGTTTACCTGATTATTATTGTCCAGGAATATTATTAGGAATACAAAAATGTCCACCATATAATAAAACAATTCCTGATAGTACAGGTAATCCTGTATCTATGGATAGCTGTTTTTGTAAAAAGGGATATGAACCAATTAATATGAATAGAAAGAAAAAAAAAGGATCCAGAGATTGGCATTATTATAAATTTTTTTTTAATAAATATAATTATAAACAAGATCAAATAAATCCTCAACATATTTGCATGGAATGTGATATAGGGTATTATAAAGATACTATATCTTTTGAACGATGTAAAAAATGCCCCAAAAATTCTACAAACAGAACTTACGGTTCTACTAGTATAAAAAAATGTAATTCATGCTATAGTGGGTATTATAAAAATTTAAATAAAGGTTGTTCAAAATGCTTGCCTAATCATTTTTGTGTTGGTAGCTTTCCTAAAAATGATTTAGTTCAGTATACAGGAGACGCTGTAGTTTGTCCTAACAATTCTATTACTATAGAACCATATGAAAATAATGCTTCTTTCAAAAATTGCTTATGTATAAAGGGATATGTTAAAAATTCTCAAGAATCTTATAACTTAAATGAACATTGTAAACCAGTACCTTTAAATTTTTATAAAGATACTGTATCTAATGATTTAGGGAAACCTTGTCCTTTAAATAGTATCACTTTGAAAGTGGGAGCTAAATCAATAAATGAATGTATATGCAATAAAGGATATTATTATAATGAAACAATAAATGGATGTGAAGAATGTCCAATAGGGTATTATTGCCAAGAAAAAAATATGAAAACTAAATTTATGAAACCTAAAAAATGTCCTAACAATTCTGGAAATACTAAGAAAGGGTTACATGAGATAAGAAATTGTCAATGTCATTTTGGTTATGCTCCAAATATTCATATAAATAAATTATTAAATGATCAATCATTTGAGGACAATGAAAAAAGCCTCTTATCTTTTTCAAACAACTTTGTAAATAAATTGAATGAGAAGAACATAAAAAATTTAAAAAATCTGATTGTTTCTAAAAATAACAGTAATGGAAATAAAAAAAAAAATGAAAATCCTTTTTATTCTAATAAACTATTATTATGCATTAAATGTCCTCCTTCAACATACAAGGCAGTGATATCAAATGAACCATGTGATCCATGTATAAAAAATTCTAACACTTCACAAGTTTTTAATAATTCTGATGCTTTTTTTTGTTTGTGTAATCCAGGATATTATTTAGATCAGCAAACATGTAAGCCATGTTCTTTTAGTAATTTTTATTGTGCAGGAGAAAAAATATATATAATTACAGAAGATATTTATAACGAAATAATTAATATTATTAAAAAAAATATCTCTACATTTAGTGATACAAATAAAAATGCTTTTGTTAATTCTATTATTTATAAATATGATAAAAAAAATTCAGATTTAAATATAAAATATGTCCTTAAAGAAAGAAATCCTTTTAATTTTTATAGTTCTAGCAAAATACCATCTATCATTCAAAAATATAATGACAGTATTGATATATCAAGTAGGAAAGACCTAGAATTTTTAAATGAGAAAAAAAATAATGACAATTTAAAAAATATTTTAAAAAAATTTTTTCATAGAGATCATGAAAATGTTATATATGCAAAATACGAAAAATTCGTAAAATGCCAAACAAACACAATAATTCCATTAGGTGTAGATTCTTCGCATAATTTTGATGATTGCAAATGTGCCAAAGGATATTATTTAGAGTCAAAAGATTTTTCTAAATCTATAAAAATATGTAAACCATGTAAAGAAGGTACATTTAAAAATTATGTTGGAGACGAAAAGTTTTGTGTTTCTTGCCCCCCCAAATCTACTAGTCTTGAAGGATCCATTTATCCTACTCATTGTTTCTGTAAAGAAGGTTTTTTTTATAGTAATGAAAACTGTTTAGAATGCTTAGAAGGAGCTACATGTAAGGGTGGATTATATGAAAATACTATGAAAAGGATTCAATTAAATATTGAAAATATTTTGATTACTAAAGAAGATCATGTAAAGCCTGAATCAAAAAAAGGTTATTTTTTAGATGAAAGTGTAATTAGTTTTGTAGATGTTAGTGAATGGAAGTTTATTAAATGTCCTATAAATGGATCATGTCTAGGAAAAAATAAGTGTCATTATACTATGAATAATTATTTTTGTGTTGAATGTACTAAAGGATATACAAATAGCTTTATGAGGTCTCTATGTGTAAAATGTCCTAATAATACTGTTAATATAATCCTTCTATTTATTATTTATGTTACATTTTGTTTTATTATTATAATTATATCTTATTTAAATATATCTTCTGGATTTTATAGAAGATCTATTCATTCTATAGTTATTAAGATTGCCGTTAATTATATTTCTTGTATGTTAGTCATTACAGTTTTGAAAGAAAATAATTTCCTATTACCATCATTTGTTCTTGATTTTTATAAAAAAATAAATAATTTAATGAATAGAGGTGAAAAAAGAAAAATTGTAAGTGTGGATTGTTTGTTAAGACATTATTTTAATTTGAGTTATAGTGATTCCTTCTTTTACACAAGTTTAATATTTTTTCTCATCCCAATTCTTTTAATTATCTCATTAACTATAATTTTATTTATAATACTAAAAATATATAGACTTATAAAAAAAAAAGTAATTGCGAATAGATTAGACTTACTTAAAGTAGCTAAAAAAGAAAAAATATTCTTTTTAGCTAATTCTTTAGAAAAATCATACTCAAAAGAAAGATTTATCATGATACTGAGATATATAAAGCTAGATCATCATACATTTATGGATAGGATACTGATATTTTTTGAAGATATGATTCCTGTATATGTGACTTTTTTATTTATTATACATGCTAAAACATCTTTAAGAATGTTTCAACTATTTGACTGTTCTTATATTAAATATAGTAACAATTCTGGAAAATATATATTAAGTAGAGCTAGCAGTGTTCAGTGTAACTTGAATACAGAATATTTCAAATTTTTCATATTGGGATTATCGGGAACAATTGTATGGTCTTTGGGAATACCTTTATTTTCTTTTTTCGTTTTATATATAAATAGACATAACTTATTTCATGAAAATATTCGTATAAAATACGGATTTTTGCATAACGGTTATTTACATAATAGATGGTATTGGGAAGTTATTGTTTTTATTCGTAAAATAAGTGTACTTTTCATTACAACTGTTATTATATTTCCAAAGGATGAAACTAATGCATCTAGATTATTACTTATTACTTTTGTGGCTGTTTTTTCTTTATGTGTTCATTTTATTTTTCAACCATTTGATAAAAGAAATTTCTTTACTTTAAATAAATTAGAGAACTTTAGTTTATACATATGGGTTTTTACCATTATTATTATTTCTGTTTTATTATCAGTGAATTTAAAAGAGTTGCTTAATTTCATTATTTTATTTTTCTTGGTTATTCTTCATGTTATTTTCAGTGTTAAACTTCTATTTTGCCTATTCTATGAATGTGTGGAAAATATAAGAAGAAAAAAGACATGCTATAATGTACCCATTATCGGTTCGTATGCCAAATTATTAGGAGATATTGTAGAAAAAAAAAAAAAACTAGAACCTTTAATTTATTATGATAAAATCTCTAAAAGAATTGCTATTATTCTTCCAGAATGTGTTATAAAAAAAAAAAAAAAAATCAAAAATTTTGCTAAATCATTTCGAGATATTTTTAAAGGTTTATCTCATTTTTACAAGAAAAAAAAAGGATATAAGCAATTAAAAAACCATTTGGATGAAGTACAAGAAGAAAACCAAGAAATTCCAAAAAATCCTAACATAAAAAAAGAAATAGATATAAAAAATAAATATATGGCTAAAAATGGAAATGTGAGTGATGATCAATATTATGATAATGATTTATTGTTTGAAGATTCTATAGAAAATCAAAGAATACAATTTTGTTCTTTTTTAAAGAGCACTAATGTTTCTATATATGGAAATATTAACAAAGAATGTAGAATGTTTGCTATTGAAATTTATAAAGAATTATTTGGTATATTTTTAAAAAATGTTACTTTAACTTATGTTTCTGATATGTTCTTTGAATTTATATTTAAAATATCTATTAATATAGGAAATTTAATCGATAATCTGGATCAAAAAGAGAAAATATTTGAATCGTTAAATGAAGAACAAAATTATGATCACATTATTCAGTGGTCATTAGAAAGAAAAGAAAAATATAATGAAAATAAAAAGTTAGAAGAAAGTAAATTAATTTTTTATAAAAACATGAAATCTAATTACAAAATACCTAAAGACACTTCAGATGTTTTTCAATTCACTTTATCATTTTGTGATGAAATGGGATTAGATGATTCAAATGACTACCTAAACAAAGAGGAGAAAAAAAAAACAAAAAAAAAAATATATAGTAATCTTAAATATAAAATTTTTCATTTTTTTTTTTTTTACTATTCATTAAAATTAAACATATATCTTATTTTTGTAAATAAAATTTTGTATATTTTGTAAATATATCATATTAATTTATAAATAGATTTATTACTTTAGATATTTTTAAAGTGCATATTATACATGTTTTTTTTTTTTTTTTTTTTTAATTTATTTCCTTCAGTCTCTAAGAAAGAAAAAGAAAAATTATTTTCTTTTTTTAGTGATGATCTATTAAATAAGAAAATTGCATTATCAGAATTTTATTTTATTCTCATAGAATTAAAGTTAAAATATTTTAGTAATTTACCTTCCTGTTTCTATATGTTCAGAATATATAAAAAATTAGAAAAAAAATATGAAAGAAAGAAGTTAAGAAAATTAGATGAAAAGTTAAAAAAATGTTTAAATATTAATGATGATGAAGTAAAAATTGATGGAGAAAATTTAAAGTTAAATGAGATAAAAGAAAAAATACCACTATTATATAAAGAATTTAAGGATCTTTCTAATAGGATTGAACAATTAAAATATGAATGTATTAGCTTAAATAAAAAAGATTCTGAAAAAGATTCAAGTGAAGATGTAATTACAGATTTAGAGGATAATATTTCTTTATCTAGTCAAGATACATTAGAAAGTAACATGTTGATATAATGATTTGAATAATAAAATAAAGCAAAAAAAAGGAAAATTATTAGAAAATGGACCTATAATACTTGAAGAAAAAAAAAAAAAAAAAAAAAAGAATAAAAATTAAATACTTTAGAGTACTTAAAAAAAACGGTGTAAATCTTTATTATATTTTATGTAATATTTATTATTTTTTAATAATTAGAAAAATTTTAATTTATAATATATTTTATATTAATGTACTTTTTTTTTTTTTTTTTTTTTTTTTTTTTTTTTTTGTTCATTTTAATTTTCGTGTAATTTATTTGATTCTTAATGTCTATTAAATATTTAAAAAAAAAAAAAAAAATTTATGTCATTTTATGGAGTAGTTTATCAATATATATAGGGGAGATAAAAGAGGAAATCATAAATTATTTTCATATTTTTTTAAAGATAAAAAAAATTTAACCTTACAAATAGAAAAGTTTTTTACAACTCAAATTTTTAATCTGTTGTAATATTTTACCATTTTAACTTTTTTTAATTTTAAATTAATTTTTTGCAAATGAATTATTATATGAAGTAGAATATCTTAAAGTAAAAATAGCAGAAATGTTAATTCATTATATGAATCATAAATATATGTAGGAAAGTATTTTTTCTCTTATGTATTTTTTTTTTTTTTTTTTTTTTTTATGTGTAAAATGTTAGGATACTTTTAATTATACATACAATGTAATGAAAAAAAAAGAAAAATTTTCTTTAAAAAAAAAAAAAAAAAAAGTTTATTTTTTTCTCTACAAAAAATACAAGTTGTAATTCTTAAAAATGTTACAAAATGCAATAAAAGAAAAGTTAGGAAGAAAAGCTATAAACGAATTATATTTTATTTTTGTATATAAGAAATATATAATATTCAATTATACAATAAATTAAAAAAAAAAAAATTATAATTTTTATTATAATAATAATTTTATGAATGAAAATATAAAATATTTAAATTTCTTCAAAATATAATGGATGAAATCATATTATCTAAATATTAGGTTTAATAAAGTTGCAAATACATTATAATTTAATGTTTGATTGTTTCTTATATTTTTATGATCCATTTATTATTCCAAAAAATTATAAAAAAATTAAAAATTTATTAAATATTTATGTAGTAAAAAATATACGAAAAAATACCATGGAATGTTTTTAAGGATAACTGTATTTAAATATAGAAGAATATCTTTATAAAAAATTAATATTACATATATTAGAAATCAAGGATAATAATTTACAAAAATATTTTTATAATTATTATGGATTAATAATTTTAGCTTAAATTATTTTTATAAGCAAAAATCGTTAATATATAAAACACAGATAAAGTGCAAATTTTATATTTAATGAAATCAAAATAATTGTTAACAATTGTATAAAAAAAAAAAAAAAAAAAAAAATGATACATCTATGTTTTAGATGGTGAAGCAAATTAAAATAAAAATGAATGAAAAAAAGGAAGAAATATAGATGTAAAAATTAGAATAAAAGGACAAAAAAAAAAAAAAAAAAAATAAAAATAAAAATAAAAATATACTTAATTAAAATAATAAAACAATTTTATAACTATTTAGAAATATAAAATTTCATTTTTCCTAATGAATGCTATAAAAAATGTACAATTTACTTCCATTAATATAATTTGAAAATAAAGTGCTTTCTTTCATTTTCTTTTTTTGTTTTCCATTATATTACTCTTTAAAAATTTAACTTCTATTAATCTCAAAAATATATAAAAATTATTTGTTACATATTTGTTCCATATGTAAAGTTCTTAATATGAATTTTTACTCATTAAAAATAAATTTTAAACATTGTGATATTTATACAAATAAATATAATAAATAACAAGTTACAAAATCCAACTTATAAAGTTTCTATATAAGCACATCATTATAGTCACGATTCACTAAATATTTGTGACTCCCTAAAATTTAAAAACGTTATACCAATAGATTTAGGAAGATATTAAAAATGTATAAAAAAAAGTGACATACCATTTTTCGTATATAATATACTTTTTATTTTATATAGTTATTTTTTTTTCTACACTTAAAAAAAATGAATGATTTTTTACTACTTTATAATTAGGATTTAAAAATATGGAATTATTTTCAATACAAAGAGGAGGAATTTTCTTATAAGATTTGTATAAATTATATTCACATGACTTTAAAAATATGTTAATGAAATATAACTTATCATATTTAGATTTAGTAAGATCTTTTATATATTTTGCAATTTCATTTATACATTCTTTAAAATATGCATTAATATCGAAATCAGAATAAGATTTTTCAAATATACGAAATTTATATTTTATAGAATTATTAATTTTAATTAAATTAGAATACATATTAACAAGATTTTTAGTATTAAGATATTTTTCTTTTACTTCATTTAAATTTTTTAATTTTTTTTTAGTACCTATATTAAACTTATTATGAGAATAATTAATTTTTAAATTTTTCGATATAAGAAAATTAATAAGTAGTGATTTATTCATCTGATAATTATTAAAGTCAATTTTTATGATATCAGGGTAACAGAAATCCCATAAAACATATTTCAATTCAAACGAATATTTCTCTAATTGTTGTGAATTTATATTTGTATACGCAACATGAATAAAGTATACCATAAGAAATTCTGAATAAAGATATAATATATAATAAAACATGGAATATATATATATACTAAATTCTTGTGTATAATTTAATTTAACATTTTTTAATAATGTAGTTGATAATTCTTTATAACATACTGACATTACATAATAAGTAAAAGAATATTCTTGATCTGATGGCAAACTTATATATAAACTTAAACAGTTATAATCAATTAATACTGTGTGCAAAATACATTTATAATAATTTTGTATGCTTTCTGCTTCATTATTTAAATTATATAATTTTAAATTATATGTTAGAATTTTCATTAAAATATATAATGTGCGCATTTCCGTGTAAAATTTATTTAATTTAGAATGCTCTCTTGATGACAATAAAAAAGAAAAATTTATAATTTTTTTAATAACAATTTCAAGATATTGAAAAAATAAATTAAATATTTTACACAGAATTAAGAATTTCATTCTTTTTTTTGTTACATTGATGAAATTATTATATTCATTATCATGTTTAAAAATATTATCATCATCATTATCATTATCATTATTATTAATATTATTATTATTATCATCATTATTATCATCTTTATTTATATTATCATCATTATTAATATTATTATCATCATTATTAGTATTATTATCATCATTATTATTATCATATTTATTTATATTATCATTATTATCATTGTTATTATCATATTTATTTATATTATCATTATTATCATTATTAATATTATTATTATCTTTATCCTTTTCACTATTATCCTCTTTAATGTTATTTTCACTTTTAGAAATAATATCCTCATCAAGTTCAAATATGTATTCATTAATGAACTTTTCTAGTTCCTCGTATATTTCTATAATAGAAGATTCTTTTTGAATGCATTTTATCAGATGAGGAAAATTTACGCGTAATTTGCATCGAAGTTTATTAATAACCGTAGTAGAAAACTTTTTTTTTTTAAAAAAATTTTTATTTTCATATATTTTTTCATAATTTAATCCTTTATCAATTTTTAATATATGTTCTATAATAATAAAAAAGGTATCTGGGAAATGAACAAAATTCATAAATAAAACAAGCAAATGTGTAGAAAAACCAAAATAATTCAAATCATTAAAAATAATATTTTTTACATAAAGATTTGTTTTGTTTTTAACTATTTCATCCATTATTATATATGACTCATTTAAAAATAAAAATAAAAAAAAATTAACAAAGAAGTTTTCTTCTATACTATTAAATAGCTCATCATTTAGAATTCCATAATATGAGGAACATTTTTCTTTTTTTCTATAAATATTTAAAAAGAAAGAATAGTAATAATATACTTCTTTTGTGTAACTATCGATTTGATTGTTCTTTTCAATGTTGTTATCATTTTTACTGCTATCGTCGTTTATCTTATTATCAATTTTTTTATAATATTCTTTATTACTTTTATGAATTCTATTTACTAACTTGCTATAAATAATCTTAATATTTTCTGCTGTGTTTCGTACATTGTTAATAAAGCATTCAGCATCTATTTCTTGTTTCAATATTAATTCTTTCTCAAAATCATAAAATATTTTCTTTTCTTTACTTATTAATTGCTTTAAGCAAATTAAAGATATGCATTTTGTTAAAATACTGTTACTATAAGAATAATATTTAATATAATGAAGAATATTTTTAATATCGAAAAAACTTGATCTCACATTAATCAACTTAAAATATTCTCCTACATACTTGATGTCATTTATAATATTTTTATAAAAGTTGTATGATTCATCTATACTCATTTTAGTAATATGTTTCGAAACATGATCAAGTTTATGCATTAATAGATATTTATTGAAGTATTTTTTTATAGTTTTTTTGTCATATTTTATAATATTACAATTTAATTCTTTATTTATACTGTTTACACAATTTAGTAACTGTGTGCATTTTTCTTTTATAGTATCACTACTGATATCGCAGAATTCAAAAGTAATATAATTTAAAATAGATGTAAAATATATAATAAATTTAATTCTGTTAAAGATAGAATATATTAATTTATTTTTGTTTTTTTTTTCTTCGAATTTTGTAAGAAATTTAACAAAACATCTTTTTATGATAAACATATTTTTTAAAACATATTTTCTATTCTTTCTACAATGATAAATTAATGAATCAGTTAAATTAAGTATACCATATTTATAATCATCTCTATGTATCATATAGTTTTTTGTTATAATATAATCAACTATCTCTAAACTACATGAATAGAAAATTAAAAATAATTCAAAAAAAAAAAATATTTTTTTTTTTATGTAAGATTCTTCATATATTAAGTTACATTCATTTTTATTAAAAAATATAAATTCCTTCTGAGAATTTGCATTTTCATTTAAGTTATTATCTTTCATATATTTTATAAATTCTTTGTTATCATTTATAAAAATATCAATATACATACTATCATAAGAAAAAGAAGTTAGCCATCTCAAAAATACTTTTTCAAAGAAATATTTTTCATTGCAGTTAATAACATTAGAATTGTGTAAATAGTAACAGCTTAATACTGTCAAAAATGGATGATTGCCATTAAGCAATTTTACTAATTGTAGTAGTAAATTATCCATTATAACTATTATATCATTGTATTCTAATTCTTTATTTAAATAATTTTTTTCTTCACATTCTTTTATAGATATTCTCTTATGTGATTTTATTCCAAAGTCTAATCTACTATCTCCTATTTCTAATGCACACGAATATTTTTCATATGAAAAATCTTTTGTCTTAATCTCATCTTCATTTATACCTATATAAAATTTTCATCATACATATATATATATATGTTAAATTATTTTGTAAAAATATATAATTTATTAATAAATCTCTTTTTAAAATTTTAAAAAAACCTTTTATATTCATATAAAGAAAATCCGATATATTAATGTATTCCTTCACTTTGCTCATATTATAAAAAATTTATATGTATTAACATTCATTAAAGAAATATATTATTCATAAAAATAAAATAAATTAATAAAATAGTTGTATAGCTTAAAAAAAAAAAAAAAAAAAAAAAAAAAAAATTTAATTAAAAATAAACAAAATTTAAGTACTAGTAGAGTTGGCCAACAGTCTTAATGTAGATTTTTTAAAAAAAGAATTTAATAAAAATATTTTTTATAATTTTATCACTATATGAAAAAGAAAGATTATTAATAGTTTTTATTTATTTTTTAAATTAAATTTTCAATGCATATTATTACTCACAAATATAAAAATTGAATAAAGATTTAACAAAATCATTAACATTGTAATAAAACATTTTTAGAAGAAAAAGTAAAATAATAATATATATTGATTTCTTATTTTTCTATTTCTCCAGATACATTCAAGAAGTTTAATTTATATAAATATATTGAAAAAAAAAAAAAATAATATAAAATGAAAATTTTCAATTATAAAACAAATGATTATTTTTAAGATGGATGAAATATTAATCATTAATAAAATAATTAAAATAAAAAAAAATTTATGATTTAAAGCATTAAAAATTTCTTAAAGTCTATTCTATGAATAACAAAAACACAAATTAAAAAATAAAAAGGCATAATCGAATTTTCAAATATTTTAATATGTATTAAACAAAAACAAAAAAAAAAAAAAAAAAATTACAAAAAAAAAAAAAAAAAAAAAAAAA